TGATTACCACTATGGGCAGATAAAGACAAGACAAGATCCCCAAAGCAATTTTTTCTCCCCAGAAAAGCATGCTGATATTACATCTGTCACAAAGATGCTTCCATTAGCTGGAAGGACGGTTTCATCTTAAAGAAAGCTTCAGACTGCTGACCTCAAATACAGAAATAAAGTGAACAGAATGGCTTCATTTAGTTTCATTCGCTTCCTTCTTTCACATCAAACATGTTACTGCTGTTTGCATCTTCCTTCTGAAAAGTTTGATAACCTTAAGTGCAGGTTTTTATACAGAACACAAGCTGGTACCACATACAATTCATTTCTTTTGGACATCCAAGAATGCAAATAGTTGTTTGGGTTTTTTTGCCCCACCCCTCCAATGACGCTGGAGAAATTTCAGCCTCAATCACACACTAAGTTTCATTTAAGGGTAAACAGAAACTGAAAAGCTCCAATCTGCATTACAGAAGAATTACTTTTAAGTTCATGGTTTAGAGAACACACGTCACCATGGCTTCATTCAGGATACCTAAAAATAGGTCAAGTTAAATTAACCTCTGTCAAATGCATTCTCAACAGAACATTGATGTCAAGCAGTTTCACTTACCAACAGCACCACTAGGTTTCATTTTACAGCAAACAGTACTACTGCTTCCTTGTTTTCATGTGATGAGAGCACACATTTAAAAACAAATAATGAATTCCTCCTCTGGCCTCACCTTCTAGGACAGTGGTTCTTAACCTGGGTTCGATCGAACCCTAAGGGTTCGGTGAGTCGGTCTCAGGGGTTCGGCAGAGCCTCCACCGTGACATGCACGGCTCATTTTGTGCACCAATAAAAAACTTATGTCTTGAATTTGAAAAATAAAATCATATTTTATTTTTCACTAAAGAGGGGTTCAGTGAATGCGCATATGAAACTGGTGGGGTTCGGTACCTCCAACAAGATTAAGAACCACTGTTCTAGGATCAAATTACATCCCAGTCCTCTGGCCTGCCTGACTTGAAAGCTTCAGGACCCTTGGTACCATTTATCACATAATCCCACTTGCCTATATCACTGTGGTGTTACATAACCTAGAAGAGCAGCTTTCCAGAGAGCTGAGACTTGGAGAGAAGTCTAACACTTTCCTCCAACAAGCTTATTCTAGTGTTTGAAATGTTGCCAGTCATGTTTATTCCCAATTGCTGCCTCTAACATTAGTGCTGCTTCATTTTAAACCAGTTGTGTTTTGTACTCTAGTGTAATTTGGTCAATATGTATGAATAAAATATGAATGGAGCAGAGCTGCTTAGGAGCAATGTTGAATTTTCTTCTGACACCACTTTTTGACTCCCCAGTAAGGCTGTTCGATATAACATATATATATATCGGATGACGATATAAAAACGTCTATCGTTTCATTTTACGCTATCGTTTGTTTCGTGGTGTCGCAAAATAAACTGTTTACGGCAATATTTTTTCAGCGTTTTGATGGTCACTGTAGTGGCTATATTCATTTCTTAAAGTTCTCTCTTTCTCTTATATTTAATATACTACAGACGGACAAGCGCCTATTTTTATGCGTTGTTGTTAGCAACAACGACAGTAAAACCAACGCGTGTCCGCTTGTTTATTTTACATATAAACCTTTCACAATAAAGC